TTAAAGTGCAATTATCTGCAATTTTTGGAATTTTTGAATTTTTATTACAATTATTAGAATTTACTCATTTGTAAAACAATTTTTTTTTTAAGTTTTTCACATAATTTCACTTTTTTAATACTTTTTAAACGGTTTTGTAAAAATTGTTAGAGAGTTTACATGAAAATTTGACGGTAAGCAAATAAGTTTATTTTAAATACACTCCGTTAATATAGCAACCAACGGAGAACGAAGTTTTTCAAGGTATAAAAACTTACTAGCTTCAAATCGAAGGACATCAAATTTTAAAAATTTAAAAAAATTATATACGATTCAATTTTTTAGTCCAATTTTGGGTATATTTTAGTGCAGTATTGCAATCAATTTTACCAGTTTTTTAGTACCACAACATCTGTACTTTATTATAAAGAACATATAACGCGCATTAAATATGATGCATAAATATGAGTAATTATTCAGTGGTAGGTACTCTAAACATAATATTACGATTTTTAACATTTAATTATACATTAACTTTATACTAAATATATATATATACACCGATACTTATGCTACCATAAATTATTTGCCTGTCGATGATTATAAACATGATCAGACTAGAAAGACTTTATTGTATTATACCGTCTGAAAAATTGCCAAGGAGTCTTTAAGAAAAATGGTAGATTAAAGGATTGAGATGAAAGTTGCTCTAAAGATTAACAGTTTATAATAAATTATATCTATCGCTTATTTTTTTTAGGAGCTATTAATATGTAAAGCTATAATAACTGTTTACCTACGTTTTATAAAGTTCTGCACTTATATCCTATCAGTTTAACTCTATAAACTGCAACCAAAGAAGACGGAAGAAAAAAACATTTTTTTCTTTTCACTGCTAGTTTAATACGAGTTTATTAGTCTGTCGATTTTTCAGAATATTTATTTTATTTTATTTAAGGCTATTATATAAACAACTGTTTATTATTTCCCGTTGAATGTCAGTATAGACGGTTTGTAAAGTGTAAGCCCGTACTTATATGTAACCTAATAATAGATAGTAACATAATTTGTTTTATACAATTTTTTACAACGTTATAAAAATATTATACACAAAATTAAAGATGATTTAAAAATACAAGCTATACGTATTTACTAAATCAGCAGTATAACTAGAATAAGTAGTTGTTATAATTACGGTTACTTGTCTATAAAACAAATAGCGGATGTGAAGTTTTTTTTAATTTTTTATAGAACTTTAGTGGGTGTTGATTAATGTTATTTTGCACATGTCATGTTAGTTTAAATATAATATTAATGGTAAGTATAATAACAAAAAAAAAAAAAAACCAGACAATAATTTGATAGTTATTATATAAATATAACAAATATAATAGATCATAATAACTATATTACGTAAGTATGTGTGTTAAAACGAATAATATATTATCATATATTATTTATAAGTATAGCTGTATAGGTGTACCAAATTTATTAATAATTTTACATTCAATTCTTAACAAGACATAGATAACAGCAGATATTTTTACCCTACAAATACAAAATGGATAACTCTGGATTAGTTAAATGACAAATTATTATTCGTTTTTCATACGACAATAGTTATAAGTTGTAACCTATATATTGCTATTGAATTTATAATTTATATACAAATACCTATTCTGTACACAACAGTTCAACTCTATTATACATTCATGGTAAAAGAATTATTAGAATACTTTCGTTTATATTTTTTTAGAGTTTATTATAATTTATAATATATTATAGGTATACGGTCGATGGAAAAAGAACAAGAAAAATGTTCCAATCGTCCTTGAAGATTATGTGGCGCATATGCGGTTACATAATCGGGAAACCCAAGGCGCACATCCAATCGGTAATTGGTCCGAGCCAAATAATTGGATATCTTATTGTTGTTTACCCTCCCCCTCCTCAATACCCAGAGCCCGATTTTCCAGCTGAACCGCTCTGACAATAACAATTGACCTGTAACCAAAATCTTTTCAAGTACGCATCGCCTAGGCATTGTTGCTGCAAACTGTAGAACTAATAACAAAATAAATAACAATCGGATCTCATATTATATATTATTATGACTTGCGACGACGAAGACACAATATCTATAATAGATCGTTTCAGAAACGTTTCATCTTCCAGCCGGAAAATTAAAAAAATAATCCTATGACGCAGCTTAAGACGTATAATATATTATGTATGAAATGTATTATTATTACATCATATTAAATCAGTAATAAGCTTGACAACAACACAATGTAATTCTTTTTCATTTTAAATTATATAGTACACAGTAATTTCTAAAATATGGGTACTTAATTTTATTGGTTATATCGTGTTATATTGTATAAACATTGTACCAACAAAAAAAATAAATAAATAAATAAACACTAAAAATGAATAACGACAACGATCAAGTTTAACAAAGAATGAATAATAAATTATTAAATAATTAGATTTATTATGAATCAATAAATAACGAATTTATTTATAAATTTAAAGAAAGACAAAAGTGAAAGAAGGAAAAAATGGTAATCAACTATATAAAATTTCGACTTTTATTTGATGCGGAAATACGGAAAATGAACAATTAATTTTTAAGTAAATACTTTTTGAAAAAGTTAACTTAAAAAGACGATAAACAATTTTTAATCACTTTTTGAATAAGCCAATAATTTTAATAGACATGACATTCAGATTTAAAATAATAAAAATCATAACTGTAATTATTATAATCAATTTTGCTGTAATATATGAATTAAATTTCAATATTCAATTTGTAAGAATTCTGCTCAATTATGTACGGCATTGTAGTACCATACCAAACACTTAATTACTTAGAATATTTTTTATAATTTTATATAATAACTAAATACCAGCAAAAAAATAAATAAAATACTTATAAAATATTGAAATCTATTTTCGTAAAAATAATAAACTTCAATATTTATTTTTAATCCTCGTGACTTAGCACTACAGTATTTAATTGAACGCGTAATCACTGGTAGTCCTAATCGGACACAGCGCATCTACACTGTATCCTGATAAATTTAATAATATAATCCGTAATATGTATAATGTAATACTATAGTATTACGATAATATTGTAGAAATATTTGTATATTTTAACAACACGTACTAAAATGTCGAGATAAATGTCCAAACAATTCAATAAACATTACAGTAACTTATTTATACATATCGTTAGCAAATTACAGACGAATTCATTTTCTATCATAAACAATTTTGATTTACATTGAATTTTCCAATTGGTTATTCAAAATATATTGAACAGTACAGAGGAACAGTACTACTTATATACAACAATATGCAGGTAGCATAGAATCCATCATCTTAGCCAGGAAAACAAATTAAGAGTAATTTTTCAGTAAGCTGAACACAGTAATCATACTACAATCATTTACACAATAGAAAGTGGAGTGTTAGAAAGAAAACCGTTCCATTTTCACACTTTTGCTGTCATCCTTTGTGTTTGAAATCGATTATTACATAGTTCGGAACAATCGGGCACTTAAAGAAAAACGGTGCAAATCTTGAGGCCAGAAAAAACGAATATTTGTTAACATTTGGTTTCGAGTCAAACAAGTAAAGCTGTACACATTGAGCCAATACCGTGAATATTTTGATTGCTAACATCCTCCTCTCACCTGTTTTTGATCTATTATTTTATTTCCTAAAAATAGTTGCAGCAATGCACATCTATAGCTCTAATTTATTTAAATTGTCTTGGTTTGGTACCAAATTAGTATTTGATACCTTAATATAACAGCATAATAACCTATGCCTAACAGTAGCTTACTTAAATACGCCCAAGGTCTAATCGCTTATTATTCTTAAATTTTTGATTAACACATAAAATATATTTATTTATTACAAATATTAAACTACTGCAATTTGATTACCTTGAATATAATATGACATAACAAACTGTAATTTATAATGAAACGTTTTAAGGCCAAAAATGATTTCACTTAACGTTCAAAACACTAACAATCGTATTTTATGAATCAATTACCTAAACCAAAGAAAATGTTTAAAAAAATAAACTTAAGAGTTGTATTTCCATTAACAATTTTCCAGTCCACCAGACCTTATCAATATTACAACTGAACAAATCATGAGCGGTTGTGAAAAATCATATAAAATTGTATAAAATTCAGTCAAACTATTGTCATTATTAGGCTGAGACTGAATAAATAACATAATGATTTAAGTTACATGTTTAAGAGGTATACAAATATTTTTAATTTTAAGGTTTAGAAATTAGAAATTAAATACATTCAGACTAAATACTTTTTGGAATATCATACAAGAATAAAAAAATATTTTTACTCTCAAATATCTCAATCATTTCAAAATGAAATACTAATCCAATACACCTACTATTCAGCTTTAAATTTTATTACTGAAACGTAAAAATTACCAAAGTATTGAATTTTATTTTATTATTAGTATAAGTTATTTTATTATTATTATAATACTAAAAAATAATTATACATTGTAACTCAAACATAATATTATGTCTTTCTTTGGTATTCTTAACTTACCAAAGACTGTAATTATTCCTATTTAATATTTTAACTTTTAATTATATTTGTTTAAACAATTTATATAGTTTTTATACTTTTCAGAATAATTTAAAAGATATTTAAAAATGATATGCTTTTATCATAGATTCATAGTTAATAATTTAATATACTTATTCTTAAATAACTAATCTAAAGATGTATCCATATTTCTTTTTAAAAATTGTTAAGATTTCAAAACATATTAAAGTATTTAATAATATAACTAGCATTGTGCAATGTTAATAAAATCATTTTTTTTTTTTTTTTTAATAAAAATGAAAAATTCATTTTCACACTATAAAAAAATTATTTATAACTAAAATATTGATACATCTTTATACTTAATAAATTTAATATTTATATTAAGTTTAAAAGAATAATTTAATAAAATTTACTAACTTCATTCTAGGATCTTTCTTTGGTTTACCAATTCCTCCAATTATTCTTGGTGCATCTCGTATAGCAAAGCTTTTAGCGTAATGACCAAGATGGCAATCTTTGAAATTAAAAACTTCTCGACTACTTTTTGGATAACTTGCATAAGATCTAACCCATGACTTGAAAGCTGCAATAAACAATTAAACAGTAAATAATTGAGTATTGAATACTAGCGACAATTATTAGTAAAAATTGGTATTTGTGTAGTAGAAATCTAATATAGGTTTATTATTTATTGTTAAATATTATATATGGCTCAAGGATTTAAAATAATAAAATTCAGTTAAATTTTTATAGCATTACATAACATAACTTATATAATATGTTCAAATGTGTCGACAATTAAATACATGTATCTTCTACAATATATTTTAACTCACTAGTACAGTGATTTCTTCTATACTACATTCTAGCACCCTTTTTAGATTTAAAAAAATGTCATAACCCCTCTCCTATAAATTAAAAAAAATTATCGCCTTTTTTTATATGCTTAACAAATAAACTATTTAATATTTGGAATAACTACTTTTTTATTAATGATAATAATTATAAAATATGAATAATAGTAAATTATTATATATGCCTCCCCCCTTAGATTGGGAAACACTGCACTAATATGTGTATATTGTGACAAAACAAAAAAAGTTGCATATACAAATTAATATATTACCATGACTATTGATTTAATTTAAAGCATTTAATGTACATTAAATTACTAAAGTACTAAATCACAAGTGAAATAAACAAACGAAAATAGTAAAATTATAAACTACATTTAATATTAACACTGATCATGTACTTAAATTAAAATTGTATGTATTTAATGTATTGTAGTATCTGTTTATCTATTATCATATAAAATAATTGTATAATAAACATAAATCACTGTATTTTACTTCTTGCAGGTGTTAATTAATAAATAAATAATTATCTCACTAACACCAAAAGTATTTATTGTTAATAATGATTATGATAATAATAGTATATACCATTACACCCCAATTCATGAAGACGATCTTGTTCGAGTACTGCTGTTTCAAAGCGAGATTGCAATATATTAGCTGCCATTTCAACTGTTTTAACATTTTCCTGATAAAAAATAAAAGTTTTATAACAAATACATTAAATTCAGGTGTATTTTGATTAATAATTTTAATATACTTACACCTTCAAATTCCATTGTGAGAATTGATGTCAAACATTTATCCATTTTTAATTCAGAGGCTCTAAAATATAAATACAATAATTTAATACTTTATAAAAATAATAATAATAATAATATGATTACTAATTACTAAAAACAAATATTTATTAATAAGTTTTTTAGTATAAAATGTAATTTATATGTTTCTAAAGTTTCTTATGGTCTACTAATTAGCATTTGGATTTAGGTCTTACATAATAGAATGATCTTGAAGTTTAGCTATAAACATAGCTTCATGTGGTGTCAAAAATAATGTCGCTTCCCCCTTCTGACCAACTCTTGCAGTTCGACCAACTCTGTGAACATAATCTGTGGGTGTTATTGGAGCATTATACTGTATTATACGATCTACTAAAGGTAAATCTAAACCTCTTGATGCCACATCCTGAAAATAATTAATAGTTAATCAATACAATAATCTAACCACCATATTTACGCAAATTTACTTAAGGCTATTTTTATTTATTTTTTTAATAATAATAAAAGTTATAAGTAAACACTAAATATTTCAAATACTGTAATTAATAAAATATTTTTACATTACTGCATTTTGATAGAAAAAATCAAGATAATAATGACAAAATCATAAAATAAATATTTTTACTTTCTCGTTACTTATAAATTTTGATATTTATATAACACACAATGAATCTTTGTAGAAAAGCATTATTACTTTAATATTAATAATTTTTATTTATGATTTGAGTCCATGGAAATATTCTTTATTATAAGCTATCTTTTTTATATTGAAATTGATCAAAAAAAAAAAAATACTGTTTTTTTTGTAAATAATTCAACTGACTCTTGGTACATAAATTAATAATCAAAATAAATTATTATAACCTAGAAATTAAATAACATACAGTGCAAAATAAAACTCCATGATCAGCAGCTTTAAATGATTTAAAAACTTCCATACGTTCTACTTGAGTCATATTACCATGTAGTTTGAACATGGTTAAGCAAGTTAAAACAGTGGTTAATAATTCTGTATAAAAGTCAACCATATCTTGAGTGGCCATAAAAACTAATGTTTTACTTGAAATTTGGCCTTTCTGTGAAAATAAATATAGTTATTAAACAATTTTTATACCAAAATAGTTTTTTAATTAAATAAGTTTTTACTTGTAATTTTTGTAACAAAACACCAGAAAGTGTAACTAGTCTTAATTTAGGAGGAGCTAAAACATAATATTGTAAAAGACTATCTGGTATTGCTAAACATTCTGAATCTGTATCCCCTATTGAAGATGCATCAATATAAACAGGATCTTTCAAAGACAATCCTGCAAGCCGTTGGACTCCTTCAGACAAAGTTGCTGATAATAAAGCTGTTTGTCGAGGTATAGACTCATCACGATGTTCATTAATAATAGATAAAATACTGTAATATAAATTATTAAATCAAGTCATCAAGATTGCATTTCATTATATTACATTGTAAATACTTCTACTACATTTTTATTTAAATAAATATTAAAATATCTTTACCTTGTGATATCTTTTTCATATCCAAGATCAAGCATTCTATCTGCTTCATCTATTATCAACCACTGAAGTGATTTAAAAGATATTGACTTGGTATTCTGTGCGTGGTCTAATAATCGTCCCGGTGTTCCAATAAGTATTGTGATGCCTTTTCTCATACGTGCCTTTTCAGATTTTCTTTTTTCACCACCCGTAAACATACCAGGTACAAGCCATGTGTAAGGCTTCAAAATCATTTTTTATTTTTATTAATATAATATTTATAACTTTATATATTTTTATAATCTTACCTTTAATAACTTGACAAAATTTTCATAGGTCTGTAATGCTAATTCTCTAGTTGGTAAAATGATTAGTGCCCTAAGGCCATCAGTTCGAGATAATTTTGGTCGAATCTTATGTAACGACTCAATAAGCGGAACAGCGTACGCAAATGTTTTACCACTACCTGTCTCAGATTGGACCATTGCATCTTTACCAGATTGTAAGATTGGAATTGTTTGACTTTGAACTGTTGTCAATTTTGTCACTCCTAACGTTTGTTCTAAATTTGCAATCTATTACCAGAAAAAAAAAATGGAAAATGATAATTAGGTATAAATAGTATAATTATACTAAAAACTTAAGTATTATCCAAATAACATAAATAATAGATAATTAAATTTTAAAAATTCAAGTCATAACCTTATTTCAATAATTATACCTAAACTATAATTTATTTAAATAACACATAAGTACTTGAATATATAAAATAATAGTGAACAAGAATAATTCATCATTCAAATTAATATTTATAATTTGTTTAAAATTTGAATGGATTATTAATTCTCCAAAAACATGTTGAACTGATAATTATTATGATATTAACTTACATTATAATCTTTTAAACTCAGTAATTATAAATTGTTTGGTTTTAAGCTTAGACATATTATCTAATTAATTAAGCTAGTTTAAAATCTATTCAAACCAAATTATTATTTATGGTTAATAGCACAAATTATTAAGACTGAATCCATCATAATATGAACATTTGATTATCGACTCATTCAAAATCAAAAAAATAATCAGTAAGTAATATAATTTATTTTAGATCATTTGTTGTTTCAAAACTAGTATTAATAAGGAACATCTAATGAAACCTATTATTTAAAATACAATTAATACTTTATGAAAATAATCTAAAATTAATACATTATTGCACACCTATATAAAAATATCAATAATCTAAATAAAAATATATATTCTTAACAAACCATATGTGGATGCAGATCAGTTAAATCTTTATACGTTGAGGTGGAAAACAATGAATTCTTATTTTTATTAATAGCTTGAATGTCAACTTGCTTATTAAGTATGGCTACAGGTAATTGTACTTCTGGGTTATTTCTAAACATTGAAGACACATATCCACTTTTTTTGTCATTGTTATTTCTCTTTTGATTATTTGAATGTTTTCCATTTAATCTAGCATCATTGCCTTTCTCCTGGGAACAAAAAAAAAAAACATTATAAACAAATAATATACAACAAGATTTTGTAAAAAATGTATCAGTCATTTTTACTTTTCTTGAAAAATTTGATCTTCTATTAACACCAAACACTTTCGAGTTTACAGGATCTTTTTCGCGATTAATGATACAGTCATTTTCTAGACCGTCGCCAAACTCGTCACAATTCATATTAAATAGATAATGTAAAATCAGATGATACGTAATTATTTAAAAAACTTGATACAAAATATTGATTCGTTAGTCGTTACATTAAATAGTATGTTTTAAACAAACCAAACTCAATAATTAACAAAAATACAAATTTCTACTTTGGATTCCTATCAGTAACCTTAAAACAACACGTGCAATCACAATGATAAGAACAGTTAACAATGTTGATAACAAAGAAACAACTTGATAACAAGTGTAACATTTTAAAGTAGATACTATCTACTTTTTCGATTATTTCATTAGATTATTCCCATCACTAGTAGATAGGTAAACAAAATAGAGGTGCGTTAATTCGTAGATCTAAATAATATTCTAATTCTATTCGTAATTTGTAAAAGTAGCAAAATGTCAAAAGCCTATAAATAAAGATAAATGTATAAGTTATTTAATAAAATAGTGGAAATGGCAATGTCTATGACAACTAGAAAAAAGGTCATCAGATTAAAAAAAGCATAGAAAGAGCAAAAATAAAAAACATTTTGATTCGATTACAATATTATTCGAAAGAATTGTCAAAATTAAACTATATTAATATTTAAAAAAAAAAAAATTAAATATCAATATCGATATCGATATATCGTTGTTTTTTGGGGAAATATTATCCATATATCGATATATCGAAATAGTGATATATCGATTTTGACATCGGTTTTCGCATCCCTATTTTACAAGCCCACATTCTGATATTCATAATAATATATACAGGACCGGTCTCAGGGGTGGACAAATAGGGTGACTGCCCAAGGCGCCGATGTATCATGGTCCATGGACACCATTTAAATACGAAATATATAATGTTTTCCTGTATAATTTTTCAATAATAATAAAAATAGAATTTAAAAACAACTCAAAGTCACTATATATATTATATAAATATAATATTAATCAATAGTACCTAACTATTCTAGGTATTCTATATCTGTGGAACATCTTATGAACTTAATTTTTTTCCTGACTTATTCTTCATATATTTCTTGTATGAAATGAGAAGTAGATTTAATTATATTTTTATTTTTTCTATTTAGATATGTTTAAAATTGGTAACAGTTTTTACGCAAAAGTACAAAACCCGTACGTTGACAACTAAGGTTTTACATTGTTGTGGTGCTGTAAAACAACCAAAAAATGATCTAATATTATAGGTATTATATCCATGGACCATGATCTGAGCTAAACAGAATATGGTTCGGCGTCAAATCAGTCACACACTCACACTAGTCGCGATGGTATATAAGATCTATGTGATCTTCGCTCAGGAGACTAAAAAATGACTGTATAATTAAAATTTCAATCGTCCCGTTGCACAGAAATTAGAAATCACCATTATTAGTCATAATGTCCATAACAAATTACTATTAATATTATAGTATAGTATAATCAAATTTTTTTTTTGAAAATTATAATAATTATTTATTTATATTTAAGTGTACACTTTTAATTATTGTTACTTTTTTAGTTTACATATTCTGGCTGATAAATATATAAAAAAAAAAATCAGAAAGTTGTTTGTAAAACGTATATAATGTATATTTTTGCCTAATTTACTTTATAAGAGTTTATAATTTCTGTAATCTAACATTTTATTAATCGCCAATCCATATTTACTTTGAATAAATCTTACATTTACTTTAAGATATGACATCATATATGCCATGTTTTTGTCCTAGTTTAACGTGTTTTGCATGCTATGTAAGGGCAGTTTTTAGAGCAATCATTTTAATATCCAATCCTGATGAACAATCAATTACCGATCATATAATGGTATAATAATTAATAAAAAATTCTAAGAATCATTTGTATATACAAATATAAATCTTACGTGTATAAACAATTATAATTATTTATTATTCATCTACGTTTATTTCAATATATAATTTATTTAGGATAATTATACGAGTGCAAAACGGCCAAACATCAAAACTGTTTTAAATTTTTTACTATCAAATCATATGCTTGAATCCAAATTAGAATACACAATTATTGGGAATAATCCAGATAGATGTGCAGTCAACAATTCAAGTAGGAAATAAGTGTAATATTATACTTAATTTGTTAGTTTGTAAGTTAAAATGTAATACACATATTGCAAAATATTAAAGTGATAAGTGACAACTAATTACACAAAAACTATTTTTGAATGTGGAAAAAAAAAAAGAAAAAATTTAGAAAACGATTAATATAGTTTCAATATTGTGGTGTCTTATTTAATTTGGATAATTTATGATTAAATCATTCTTGAAAATTAACGGTTAATTAACAACCCGCCAGAAAAATATATCTTATTTTCAAATTAAGAGAAAAATATCTAATTTCTGACTGCATATCTTTCATTCTCTTCTTTAGTCTAAATCAAATCTCAAAATCAAACTATTTCAAACTACTAAATTATAGGAACTAAAATAAACTATTATAAAGCTAATCAAATCAAGTTGACCTAAACGTCCTAATATATACCTAGGTATTTGAAAAAAACAGCTCTTTAAATGATATAATTTTTAAGCACAATACGTTATGCATAAAATATTAAATATCTCCCTATACACGGTACGTCGGTACATACGCACAATATATATTATATTATATATCTATAGTGAATTTTATCAGCTTATACAACTGAACTCTAGGTATATTAAATTGAATTCGTTTCATTTTTATTGTAAATATTATGATACCAACAGAGCCAGGTCCAACGCCCCATGGAGCAAACAATTTTTACCACTTACACCTCTACCCCTTTCTCAAAACCAGAAAAATTTGTTTCAGTATTTTAACTTATTCAATATTTATGTATTCATAAATACACCTAAATAAATAACTTTTAAAAAACGATTTAACTTAATTGAAAATATATTACTAGTAAACATTAATAAGTTAAATAATTATAATACTTAATAGATTTATAGTATTATAATCAAAATTGTTTATAATTATCTTATGATTTATAGTTTAAAAAAAAAAATGAAATTATTTTGTAGGTATCTATTTAAATATCTTTTATTTTGGATTTCGTTATAGCAAATGTATGAATTAGTTCTTCCCACTTAATATCTTTAACCAAATCAGATTCAATACATAATATCGACAAATTAGAAATTTTTTCATGAATTTAAAATGATCGTAAATAATTGTATGCACGATGTAATAACTAATTTATGTAATAAAGCAAATGATAATATTCCTTCTATTCATTTTTTACAATGCTTTTAAAAAATATTAATTCTTCTTCAAAATCTGTATTTATAAATCTAAATTATAAAATTCAACAAGATATTTTTACCTTTTATTCAAATATGTTATCATATCATATATCTCATTGTCTAAGTTTAATATGAATCCAAATATATCATTGATTTCAATATACATTTCCATTCTTGTATTTAATGGAAAATCAATAATGACAATAATCAATAACAAAAAGTTTATTTTCAATTTTTTGATCCCAGTAAAATTAATTTTATTTGGGTTTAAATCGTAGATATGTAATTTTGATTAATTTTTTTTTTTGTTCTGATTGTTAGAGATGAAAATGACTCACTAGTCACTACGACATCGAATTTTAGATTCTTCTAAAAATATATAAAATTAATTCATAATATTTTGAATTTGAATATAACCTTTCAATGAACGAAATAGAGATATAACTATAGATTAATCGAAATTCTATGATTGTAATGTTTTAAAAATAATATCAAAACATTTTGAAAACGTTTTTGTGAGTCCGCTCATAAAAAGCTTACAAGTTACAGTAGGTATACTCTTATATAATATATTCTATATTTCTATGAATTGTAAATCGTAATCAAAAACAATAAGATATATTAGACAGTAATATCATCAATATGCAGATTTCGTTCTAAATTAGAACTTCTAATGTAGTATGGTCTGTTGTTCTATCATTTTATGTAATCATAAATATGATTTTCGAAAAATTTACAACAAAATAAAGGCCCAGAAATCGTTTTTTTTTTAACAACTCACGTTTCATGCAATACCTGGGTGAAGAAATAAGTTTTGAATTTCAAAACTTCATATCCACCATTAGGATGTGATGGCAGAAAACCATGAGCACAAAAATACAGGAAAAATATGAAAATTTTTTCTAAAATGATCCACTGTCACTTTTTGCCGTTTTTTTTTTTTAAATCAATTATCACGATTTTTTAGATAGTAGACTCTACTATAAGTAGAGTATTTACAAAGTTGTCGGGGATATACTAAAACCTTTGATGCACTGTTGCTCTACAATTTTATGTAATCATTTATATGATTTTCGACAATTTTTCAACAAAAAACACCGAAAAACCGTTTTTTTATTAACAACCCTTTTTTCATGCGATATTTAGATGAAGGAAAAAGTTTTGAATTTCAAAACTTCGTATCCACCATTAGGTATGAATGTGTGATTCGTGTAATTGCGTTTATTTTTTATCACGTATTGTTGGAATTAGACAATTGACAATGTTATAAGTAGAGTTTTAATGAAAAATTTTAATTTAATTTTGAAATGATTTTAACTTACTTTTAATAAAAATTTTTAAGTATTGAACTAAAAAAAATATTTATAGAAAACCATTGTTACATTTTATTTTTCAAATAGGTAGTTTAAATCTTTTGCTGCCTGGAGAAAATGCCTTTTTTCTTCTGCAACTGGGTTAACGCGGCCCTGGATACTAATTATAGTTATAATATACGCTATATTTAGTATACTAAATATTTATTATTCGTATAATTGTGTTCTATACGTGATGGATATTTTTATGTTTTATAGACGAGACTCGTGTATCGCTCGGAGAACACATTGCTGATGTTCCAACAGAAGTAACATTCAGTAGCGTTCTCGATGACGGCTCAAGTCATAGAAATAATAATCGACACGTTGTCGCACGCTTGAATTTTGTGTGCAACGTATGCAATAAATCGTGTTTATCTGCGGCCGGACTTGGAAGCCACCGCCGAGTTCACCGATCGTGATTTCCACATGTAGAGAGTAAATACATGCGGATGATTCAACGTGTTTTCCTTTAATAATAAATTAATTTAAATTCTTATTTTTAATATTTTTAAGTTTATTTCAAAGAACATAATTACATATCATTTAAGGAACAGCCAATGGTGATATTATATGATAATTATCCTTTTCTATTTAAATTGTTAAGCAAGCGATTTCTTGAAAATATTGATGTATCTAAAACAAAATTAGAAACAAGAAGTAGTTTATTGAGTTGTTGGGTATTTAACTTTAAGTAGCCGTATAATATGTGCTGATGACAATACGTTTAAAAAATTTAAGAAGACTAAAATTATTTAAAGATTTTAATATTATTACTTTTAGAGGTAACCGCTTTCTGTCAAAGTGACTTCCACCACGCGTGGCAACGTGACCGTTTTAAGTTAAGCCTTTAAGGGTTATACATATTACTTTAATTCCAATTTTCGTAAAAATATATTAATTTATTAACTAGATTTTTTTTGAAAATAGTAATGATTAATATTTACGCATAAATCACTTCATCTCACCACGTGGCACAGGTTTTCAAGTAATATAATTGTACCAGTGTGTTCCCTCAACAGCCCCAACGTATACTATAGTGTCTATCTGTTGTCTGATTATGTGTATTCATAGGTAATATTTATACCAAGAAACTACAATTCAAATATACGCAATTTATAACTAATATATTTAAATCAATGGCAGTATCAAAATATATTATCATAAATCTTTTGCTAGTAGTATGGAATATATACAAAATTTATGGCATATATTTATTTGCCTCTAGAGAAAATATATCCAATCTAATGACATATCGGCCATATCACACATATATATATAAATAACATTCAATTATTAAAGTACCTCTACCTATTATAGTAAACTACATTAACAATTATATGCGCAATTGTTTCCGTTAATAATTGCCCGATAAACCACGGCGATATGTAAAAAAAAAACAATACTTTTACCCGATTTATAATATAACGGTAACAACGCAGTTTAGTGAAATTAGTGAAAGTATTTTGAACCAATTGTTTATCATATTGAACATAAACACACAATCGTTTCTATGGTGTACATGACATATTGTCACTTGCACTAAAATACTTACAGGTATTACACGTAATTACACGTTTAGGTATAACGTTATTGCTGTCTACACATATCATACAATTTTAAGCTTGCAACCATTTGTCAAACATCGTTGACGTAAGTAACTATGTATATTACTATAATAGAGTAAGGTGACCATACGTCCCATTTCAAACCAGATTGTCCTTTTTTTGATCATCATGTCCCGTTATCCCGACAAACTCCAAACGGCACGCTTTTTATTCTGTTTTTTAAAAGATGGTATCGTTTTAATCCTACAGTTATTTTCATTTATTAAATAATGTTTGTAAAAAAAATATCAATGTATTAAAAATAAAATAATAAAACATTTTTAAAAAGGAACAACATATTATAATTATTATTTAATTATTTTAATAAATTGTAACTTAAATGTAATTGGAAAAATAAAAAATTATCATTTAAAAAAAATTTGTTTGTCCCGTTTATTATTTTTATAAAAATGGTCTCCATATAATAGAGTAACCCAACTATACAGCCTATTGTAGCAATTTTCCAACATATGATACTATAATATTAATAATATTATGAAATATAAATTATAGATATTACAAATATGACTAATCTGTAACAGTTTCAATAGTTTGATTTAAGTTTAAATATCTTCAAATAAGTTTACTGGGAGGAGTTGTGATAATATAAGTTTAACACGTAGTTAAGGCGCTAATCTATTGTTTTCGGTTATATGCCTAATTGTATATAACTATTGGGGAAGATAGGGGTGGGGCGAGAATTTTCATTTTTTATACTTAACTGCGTGTTGTTATTTATAATTATGATATACAATCATTATAGCAATCTATATTTAAATATTTTTACTACAAAGTTTTTTATAAAATAAAAATAACTAGAAAAATCTTCATTTTAAATAAATAACATAAATTATAATTAAATTAATTAAACCGTCATTTTTATTACACCATAACTATTAATATAGTGAAAAAATAATTTATAAACTATTATAATTTATGACAGTTCTAAGTCTGTAGTGTAGGTAGGTACTTTATTTCTAAATATAATGTATATTAAGTAGTCAGGTAGATATTTTTCGAAAATAAATCAAATATTTTTATCTATTTTAACCTACTGACTAATTGCTTCCTTTATATCAACAGTTTTTCTTTTTATCTTGCTAATTTTTGAAGCTATCTAATCAAAATGTACATATTAGATTAAAGATTTTTTTTATGATCCATTAAAATATTTTCGATAAAAACATATTCTTAAAAAAATCTCATACAAACATAATTTAATTAAAGGCTTGCACCATGGTCAAGTGAACAAATTTCGTAACCATTTGGAAATTTAATTACATTTTTAAAACAGGAAAAAGCTGTACAAGAACTGCCAAAAGGTATTATTCAAATTAAATTTATTGGATAAAATTAATTGTATTAAAAACTAAATATATTTAAAAGTGAGATTAAAAAAATTAGTTTTTAGATAACTTATAGTCCAAAATAAATAATATATATGTTGACGCATGATATTATTTTATATTATTATTTTGTATTTGTGTCGGTTTCGTTCGGTCTTGATAAAGGCGAAATGTGGCCCGATCCCGATAACATTATTATTATTATTATTATTATTATTATCACGGACTAAAATTATATTGTGTGACTTTGAGTCAGTCGCGTACAATCAATGTAATCGGCACCGTCTCGCCAAATTTCAATAAAGCGAGATTTTTAGTGTAAGTAAAGTGCGTTCACTACTATTATTTAATCCTAATTACTCCTATCCGAGAACCAAAAAATAAAAAAAGCGTTACAGTCCACAACATGGTCCTTCGACGACGGATAGCGAGTAATTTAGATTAATTTAGAGTAAAAAGGTTTAAATAGTGCGAAACCACGTGTACGCGAACTCAATAAGTTAATAAACGATTTAATAACAAAGAGAGTTATTAGTGCATTGGAGTTGGATGTTGGCTGATTGGGGCAAGGAGCGTGCACCGTCGTCAATTCAAAAAAGAGGTAAGAGATCTCCAATTTCCTTAATACTTAAATACTTGAAATTTTTTTTATATCGTGGTAAAAATTCCTTATATCTGGGCTTTACCCGGGGTGAGAGTATAGGCGACAATATAATCGATTAGCACGTCCCTATCAGTATTTTATTTGCGACAGAAAATAGTGAACGTATATTCTCTACATCGTAAACCAATTAGTGCGTATTTGGCAAGAGAGAGATAAGATAAGTGATAGTCGACAATTAAATTTACGGTGGGCGATTGCGTTACGTCAATATTATAAAAGTTTTTATTATCGTATAAAATAAGAAATATTATACGAATAAAATAGAA